AATTATTAAAGCTTCAAATAATTGAGAAAGAATATATTTTACAATTATTAAAGCTTCAAATAATTGAGAAAGAATATATTTTACAATTATTAAAGCTTCAAATAATTGAGAAAGAATATTTTTTACAATTATTAAAGCAGGAAGGTCTACAAATAGCATAGAATTTAGAAAACACTCAATTACTTTTCGTGCTCACCTAGATAAACCGCAGAAATATTTATTTTTAATTTAAATTTAAATTAAAATATTTATTTTTAATTTATATTTAAATTAATATATTTATTTTTAATTTATATTTAAATTAATATATTTAAAATATTTATTAATATTAATAATTGTTTTTTTTTAATTATTAAATTAAATATGTAAAAAAAATAATAACAATAAATATTTATTTATAAATATTTGCACTTTATGAATTTGATTATACAATTTCATAAATACACTTATAAATTATTTACAGAATTTAATTATTATTACTAAATTTTGCCTATTTTTAATGCTTTTTAACCTACTTGTATGGAGTATTATAATTTTTGTATAAGTTCAAGCATACGATGAAATATATACTAGTCGTAATTATTATAATATTGTTTTATAGTATTAGTTATATACATATTTAAATTTTACATTTAATAATTTTACTTTCATAGTATTACTAGAAATTAAATTTTATAAAATAAAATTCTACTTACAAATTTAACTTACAGTAATATATAGTATTAGTTTTTTTATTTGTATTTAAATAAATTAATTAATTAATTAGTTTGGATAAAATATAGTATAGGTGGAAATATAATTATAATAAAAAATAATATATAAAACTTAAATAGTTTAGGCTAATATCTAAATATTTTAATTATTAATCTATTTATAAATAACTTAAATTAATTAAATTCGCTAATTTTTATATATTATTTGTTTATAATAATTATATTAGCCCACTATACTATAGTTTATCCTATAAAATAAAAAAATTATTCAAATTGGATGACGCATATTTAATTTCTATTCACGAAATCAACATAGCAAAAGATCCCATATGTAACATATGTATTGTAATAGTAAAAATATGGATTTTTTTTTTTTAAAAAAAAGTTAATTATGAATTGAAATACTCGTTAAATATTTTTTAGATTTTAGGAATATTTTTATTAAGGTGATCTAAAAGTACTTTACTGAAACGCAGTTCTGCAAGTTCTGAAGTTGCTAAATTGGAAGTTTCAGAAAATCAAAATTAAATATAGTCGAATGTCGTTGTTAGTACAACGCAATTGATTAGTCAAAAGTTTCTACTGATTGAACTGGTTTCCAGATTATAGATATCATTACCAAAAATTTCTGTGGTGTTCTTGGTACAGTTATTAAGAACTCATAATGATCTATCCACCTTCAGTCCTAATGCTGGCCATTGGCCCACGTGTGCGTTGTACCGTTAAACCTCAAATTAAAAAAATCCAAAGTAGGTAAATATGAAATGTAAATTAATGACGACGCGCATAGAAGTTTAGAATATCTAAAGTATTAATTATATACGTGGTGTCTTTTTTTAATTGTTAATTACTATTTAAGTGAAATATTAGGTTTGCATCGTGCATTACATGAGTCGAGGTTCAGATGTTTATCCTGTTTGTGTGATGTTTCTACTGTACTCCTGCCGCACTTTGATACTGTGTAGGCGATTATATTAGAATATAATCGTCTGTGCATATACAGTACTTTCCAGACACTGCATGTGCACTATTGAAAAATGCACAGAATCAACCTCAAATCTCTGTTATTACTGTGCTTAACATTACATGTAATTAAGCGCCAGTAAAAAGTTTGCTGTTCTGTTATCTAACATCTGTTAAAGCGTAACTGCACTTTTTGTTTGGTAAATTTAGGCGAGTATGGTTTAATATTGTAATATTGTATCTATTGTTCCTTTCAAGAACAATTCGTTCTTTTTATTTTGTTTTGTATATTCAACAAGTGTGAAAAACTGACCGAGTCATGACAGCATCACGTAAACGATACGTCAAAATAATTAATTCTGATTTGTTCTCGATGTTAATTCTCGACCTTTTAATAAATTTATTAGTTGTTACCATGTTTTCTTTATGTATTCATTTACATTCGCATATTTACTTTTTATATTTTATTAATGCTTTTGATTGTTTTAATCTTACGGTGACCATGAATTTTACAATTCCTAAGAATAAAATGTGCATACAAATTTACGTCACAAGTAAAACAAGTAATACTGCGTGCTTTAAAAATCCTTAGTGTGCAGAAATAAATTTTGGTGTAACACGGAGAGTACTGAATCGCCTATTGTTTAGACTCAGTCACACATATATATGGAAATGTCATATTCGCATAAGACCGAAACAATTATTGTTATTAGTATATGGTTATTACTAAAACAGCATGTATTGTGTTTTCAAGGTCAAGGCGTTAACATTTATGAATATGCTTAATTGTTATTTCATTGTATATATAAAGAAATAGATTTATTTATGCGATTGTATAGTTTGGTAAATTTCAAAAAAATAATCTTGAACCTTTTTTAATTTACTACGTAATGCTAATGAACATCCCAACTTTACAAAATTGCGAAAATCGGGAAACCAAGAAAAATTAATTTTCCAAACCTGGAAGATTTAAATAATGCAGTCTTTCGTTACACCTATGACGATTTTCCGTGCAACTCTGCTACGTAAAATCATTCTCAAACGTTTGAATATTGTAATAATCAATCTTGAAAATTTTTAACTCCGTATGTACTAAGAGTTAAAGTTTTAAAAAATATTAGTAGAAATTTTTATAAAAAGGATTTTTCCAATGGGTTGTGATTCAATTGCTGTTATATCAGATGTCACATTGAATTAGATATAAATAAAATAATATAGTTACTTTAATAATACGTATAATAAATTTCTGTAATTTTTAAAGTAAAATAATTTAAATCGAAAAGTAATAAATATGTTTAATTAAAAAAAGAAAATTATTATGCGTTTTAAGTTTTTATAAATTTTGTAAAATAAAAGCTACTACAGTCAAACCTCTATAGTCATATTTGCTTGTAATTACATAAAATTTTAAAACCTCTATAATCACACCCTTGGTTTGATGAATTTGGTGCTTATAGAGAGTTTATACTTATATAGAGGTTAAATTTTATATGTATTATATAAGTTGGTTTTAAAAATTTTATAATTACAAGCAAATATGACTATAGGGAAGGTAACTAAAAGAGGCTTGATTGTATAATACATATAAAATTTGTCCTCTATATAAGTACAAACTCTCTATAAGCACCAAATTCTTTAAACCAAGGACGTGATTATAGAGAGGTTTAACTATATATTTATTATATATTTACTAATATATATTATTTGCTAATTATTTATATACTTTTGTTATAATTTAAATTAAGCTTAGAATAGAATTAGATCGTGTAATAAATAAAGATTAGAACTATTTAAATTTTTTTTATCGTTTAACTATTGTATTTAATTTATTTAATATTAAATTAAATTTGGTTTATTCTTAGCATTATTTGATCAAAATTACAAATAATTTTAAGTAATTAATCAGTTTTAAATATTAGTAATCAATTTTAAATAAAAATTAACTATTATTTAGATTATTTTTAGATAACTAAATACAAAAGTAAATATATTACTTTGGCGATTTTGTTAATATTTTTAGTAATTTGCTATTTTTACTATAAAAATACAATTTTTACTATAAATATATAATTTATAGCTAGAATTAAAATTAAAATCAGAGTTAAATTTTATAATATTAGTTATTTTTTAATAAAAATAGCAAATATTTTTATTTTATATATTTTATTTTTTTAATTTTTTTTGGTATTAAGGTGATCTCTTGGCTATCTTCTTTTATTTAATTATAAGTTAACTTTACAGTATGCTATAGCATATCATATATATTTGAAGAATATATGCTAGCTATATATATAACTTTTGATTGTCTATTTAAGTAGTCTGCATATTACTAAGTTCTATACTAGATGCTATATTTATAATCTGACTAGAGGATTATTTATTTAAACCTTCTGTACTTATGAGTTACTTTATAATTGAGTAAGAATACTAGTATCTTTCTATTTTTAAATACTTGGTTTAGAACTTTAAAGCAGGCTCAACTATTTTAAAAATCTTTTATCCTTAAATATAAACCTGCTAAAGCTCTTTATATTGTATTTACAATCTAGCTAATCTAGATTTCAATAATTTATATTAAGTTTAAAAACAAGTACTTATAGTTAGTCTTTTAACCTTTGCTACTATTATTTATTTTTGTCTTTGTAGAGTTTACTTAAACTCTAGTATTTCTTTTCAAATCTATTTCATATCTTTTACTTTTAGTACTACTCTAGTTAATTTTTTAAATTACTGATCCAGATAGTTTAGAAAAAATATTAGTTTTCTAATATTTATTTAGTAGATTTTTTTCTAGTTGATGCTTTAATAGTTTAGTTAGTAGAGTACTTTTGCTAAATACCTAGTTTTTATTTAATTGTATTAACCATAAATATATTTTATCCTAGTAGTAGTATTATAAACTAAATAATTTTAATCAGCTAACTAAACTAAAATGTTTAGCTAATAATTAATATATTACAAATACAAAACTATAGCTATTATAAAATAATTGTCGGGAATAATGCTGGGAATCAGATGATACTGGGAATCTGGGGTTTCAATTTACAAATATAAACCCTACTAAAACCTATATATACTCTTTCATTATAAACTCTAACCCTAAATTCTAACTTAACTCTAAAAAAAAAACTAAAAAAAATGTTCTAAAAATTTTTAAAATTTTATACTAAAATAATTCAAATTCCCAGCATTATCCGATTCCCAGCATCATCTCCCACAATAACTATATAGTTATTTATAGTAACTTTATAGCTAATTGCAAGTAATATTAAAGTTGCAAATTTGCAAGTTTCTGTAAAGTATCTAATTAAGCTATTAGATAATAGACAAATTATTATATAATTTAAAATAATTTGATTAGTTAATTTTAGATACTGTAAATTCTCGAAATAATGGGCATAGACATTAATTCAAAAATCATGCACTCTAAAAATAGCATATGCAGATTCGAAATAATGCTCATACGCATCCTGAAATAACGTGCA